TTTCTTTTTGAACACAAGGACCACATTTCTTCTCCTCTCTCATCTGGATTTTATCAGTTCCCCAGGATTTCATCTGTTCTCCAAGGATAATGCATAAGGGTTTGGCCAGATCATCAGCAAGTTCTGGTAATAACCTTGCAGTGAGATGGGTGGCAAACAAATGTAAAAGAATAAATAAGTAAAATAATATGTAATTTAGTTGGTCCTGGAAATGTAATATCACTAAACATAAGCAGGTATTCTTTTGGCCATGTTTCTATCAGCCATAAGCTTCAATCTTGTCTGTTCATCCGCCTACAGTTTTTCTTTTTTCTTCGATGGTGAAGACTGAGCCAAAATTCGAGTTGAATAGCATTTTGCTTTCTTCATGGAGCAGCTGCTTTTTTTCTATTTCAAACATATCTAAAACAACACTTTTTTGATATTCTTAATATCATCCACTAACCTCAGCTTATTTCAAGCTACTGCTTTCCTGATCTCAGTTCTACAGTTTCAGGTTGCTTGCACTTGTTCTTGGTAATTTGGCTGTCTGCCAAATAAATGCATTTTGGGTTTTCTGTTTTGTTTTCAATTGTTTGATGGAATCCCATTGTGCTTCCAAATTTAGTTCTAAATTGAAGTGACAAGTCAATTACAATTGTCTAATCTGGCTTTCAACATGATTATATTCAGACAAATTCAAATGCCTTTTGTGCATGTGCACAGTCACATATTTATTTGCACATTCAGTTCAAACCAATTCCAACAGCCAAAATGTATAGGTCAATTTCCTAAGTCAAATAATTATGTTAATCACATGAATTTATTTATACAAATAGACTCAACAATGTGAATGGTTTGAATTGTGTAAGACCAGGCTTTATCTGGCTAAGATAACCATGAAGTTCCATGTTTTGCTTGCTTTTGTTCTATTTGGTTTGTTTTGGTATTCTCTTTTTTAAATTTGTTACATTGGCTTTTTAGTTTTAATATTGCCCAGAGTCACTTTGGTGCTGGACAAGCTATAAATTAAATAAATAAATAAATAAATATATTTGTACAAGTAACATGCATGTTCAATGTTACACTGTTCTAACTTTCTCCTCTGCCAGATTCAGTTAATATATATGTGGGATCACCAAAATGTGGTCATGAAAAAGACTATGGATGCTTGTCCTATTTGTTTCATCCATGCTGTCTCAACAGAGGTTAGGACCATACAGAGTTTATCAACATACTCTTGGACTTTGGAACAAACTGTACTCATAGAAGTTCATCATTTAAGATTAATGCATGATGAAGGTATGCCTACATCTATTCACTGATAAGGCCATATCTATCACAGTAAAGTCAACATGTTTGCTTTTTTGATAATTGCATTAATTTAACAATGCCTTTTTTGTAGAACAAATATAATGCAACTACTGCCCTTTACAACTACTTTTTGCCTGGGAATAAAGGCAAGGGTTAACTTTTTCCATCAAAAAAGTTCATATTCCTCACCCCCTGAGGAATTTGCTCCTGTCTGGCAGCCCAAAAGACATTTATAGTTCATTATGAACAGTGGAATGTAGCTGTTTGGTTGTATAAATAACATGCCAATGGGGATCTAGAAAGGTGTTCTGAGGTCTTAAGGCAGACCTTTGGCTGTTCTCACTCATGTTCTCAAGAAATTTCAGCCAGAATATTTGGCTGAATATTATTTATTCTGTAAAGGTGACTTTGCTGATATGTGGGAAACAGTGAATGATGATTTAATAAATAAGCAATTCCTTCCTCTACTTGTAAATTTAATATTATTAAAAAGTAAATTGGTTTATTTCTTATGTAAATTGCTTCACATGAAGTCAGGCACATGGCTGTGTATTGTATGATAACTATGTACTCTTAGTCAAGTCGTCTAGTTTCTCGAAGTAATGTTGGAAGCCATTTAACTGCTTCTCCTTCTGTATATGAATTGCAAGTAACCATAATGAAATACCCATATTTTAATGAAATGTCTATAACATTAGTATGGGGATTTTTCATATAGGGAATTTCAGGCAAAATAGTCCCTACAATGAAATAGTATATTAAAATAACTGATAGTTTGCCTAATTCAAAAAAGTCTGCTACTCAACCTAAAAACATTGGAACAATTATATATTGTGAGAATATTATGGAGAATCATAGGTATGGATTTGCATCAGAAATGTTCATTCAAAAATTAGAACATCGGGTTGGATAATTTTCTAGATATACTTATTAACTTCCTCTGCTGAATTTTTATCATGAAAAATGGTTCAGTTGTGTATCTCATCTCCATATGATTCATTACAGTAGTAGGTTTTTAAATGGAAAGTCTAAAATTGGCTCCAATTCAAACCAGCAAGGCTTCTGTATGTGTTTTTGTGCTCAGGGAAGCTCATTAATGACATAGTTATTCTGCAATTAAGGATCCAATGCATGGCAAACTGAGGGACAAAACTGATAGCTACCCTATAATTTCAGACCATAAACTTTGCTATTTGGTTTACATTTGTACCATTGATTCCAGATATGACAGGGCTGCCACCATCCTCTATTATCTGGTTGGAAATTTTGGATGTTTGTATCTCAACACAGATAGAAGACAGGAACTAAGGAATATTACTACAGATCTTTAGCTTTCTCTAACTCGGCACCTTCCATCGTGTGAGGAAACTGGAGATGCCAGATTCTTGGGAGGCGTAGCATACTCTGGGAGAGTTTTAGTACTATAATTACTATCCCTGCATATTTGGAGCTTACTAAATGCCATGTCTATAATTTCAATTAACTGAATAGAATTCATCTACATTTTCCTGGCTGTAAAACCAGAAAAAAAAACACATTGCTGCTTCTTATGTTTCAAAAGATGAGCTGTTACTTGAATTCTAAGGTGTTAATAAGCAAAAAAAATATAAAAGGTTTGTGGATGAAAAACCAACTGAAGATTTAATTCACAAGTACCAAAGGATTTATTTTAGATATCTTCAAGTCTGTCACTGTTAATGTGGCAAATTTATTGAAAAGGTTTATATAATCTTAGCACTGGTGTGTATGTGTTTTATAAAAATTAGCAATGTTTTATTTTTAATAGAGTATTAGTTTTAATAAATATTGTATAACTGTTTATTGTATATGTGCTGATTAAGAAAATAAGCATGATAAAATTAATAGTCTTTAATTTTGAGGTATTTGTGTATGAAGTTTGGTTCCTGAGTGTGATAAAAGTGGTTTATGAGGGAATTAAACCAAGCATAAATTGCATACTTAGTAAGTTTAAACCTTGAGCAGGGAATAAGATAGGATGTGTGATGTTCCCTTAGCTCAATATATATATTGGGGAAAGTCAAAAATCTTTCATTTTCTTTTTAAAGTTTATCCCTCTCCATTTCCCCCATTTCTCCCCTTTTTTTTACTTCTTCCCTTTTGACTCCCTTTCCTCCACTTTTTTTTTGTTGTTTTGTATTTTATCTTCTTTTGAAATTTAATAAAGTTGTGTTAAAAAAGGAGGTGTGATGTTGCTTTAACTGTGTAATGTTTTTATGAATAATTGTATAAGAAATGCTTGTGGTGACATTAGACTATGTTGACTAGGGACATAAATGTACATGTATTTTGTATACAGATCATGCCATATTGTAGAACGAAAAGCCAAACAATTTTCAGAAGATTATACAATAATCTTATGTTAGATTATACAATATAACAGGAAATACAAATCTGAAAATTAATTTAACTGAAAACCAAGTTGTTTTTGACACAGATCAGACCCTGCTTTATGGCAATTCACTCCTACTCACCAGGTAATATCAGAGGCTAATGATGAAAGCTTTTGCTTCTGTTTTAATGTTTAAATTAACTTATAGAATATGGCAATAAAAAACTATATGCACTATATTTACTATACTTATATATGCCTAGTTAACGCATACTGCCAGTGGTTCTGCAACAAACCACAAACCATGACATTATCATGCAAACACCCTCATTGCATGCTTGTGCCCTGATATCTGACACAACTATATAAGTTATGACATTTATCTGATGTCTTCACATGTTTCAACAATTGTTTTCCTTATCCTCATAGATGCCTATGATTGCTAAGACAGAAATTGGCTGATTTCACCCTAATGTTAGGTGTACATTTAGCCATTCTATACAGTGTCATTTGCAAGCCAAGCTGATATTCTCATGTTTAAACTATTGCAATGCATTCTACATGGGGCTAGCCTTGAAGAGCGTTCAGAAGCTACAGCTGGCACAGAGTGAAGTGGTACAAGTAGTTCTTGGGGCCCCTAGGATGGTTCATGTTATACTACTGCTCCATGAGCTGCAATGCTTGGTAATTTGCTTCTGGTGCAATTTAAGGTGTTGGTAATCACCTATAAAGCCCTTCGTGACATGGGTCCAGAGTACTTGAAGAGCTGTGGGACTCCCCCCCCCACCTGTGCCAGCAGAGAGGGCATACTGCAGCTCCCTTTGATCAAGGAATTTTGGCTGGTGGGGTCTAACAGAAGAGCCTTCTCTGTCGTGGCTCCTGCTTTTTGGAACATCTCACACCCTGGGGTGAGATTGGCTCCCACCCTCCTGACTTTTTGTAAGAGCCTTAAAACCTGGTTCTGCCAGATGGCTTGGAGCCCAAGAGGGGGGAACTTTAAATTGGAGGTGGTTGACTAATTAAAATATAATTCCACCTGCCCCCCAATCCATTTATCTGGCTCCCTCCTTTTCCATCTAGTGTTAATTAGTTTATTTTGTCTGTTCTGTCATTTTATATTAAATGATTTTAATGTTTATTATGCTATAAGCCACCTAGAGTCATTTGAAATGAAATTGGTGGTAAAAATCCTGACTTAATGTTAGATAGTAATGACAACAGAAAGAAAAAGAACATAGTCACTGAGTAGTAATGAATCAGAATAGCCTTCCCTAATCTTGTGTCCAATATACTAAAGAACACAAGGTTGGGAAAGGTTGATAGGAGCACTCCTGCCCCCCCCCTCTAAATTCTCTACAGGAATCATTTCATTCTCATACCATATATTCCTTTATTCAGTATTTGTTCTGCAGGGGTAAATATCAAGAGGCATAGATGACAATCTTTGTATTACAGGAAACATGTAGTTGCTATTTATAGAGCCAGTGCAGCAGCAGGTGAACTTTCTGCTTTTGAAAATCCACAGTGGTAAAATTATTTCCAAGCTGTGGATCCCATCTAGGAACCGTAAAGGACTCTCCCAAGCTGAGAACCCAGAAGAGAATTTTGCAAGATCTGGTTGAGAGAGAGGTAAGGAAAGAGTTAAGATAAAGAATATATTTCTTTACAGACAATTACAAAAATCACAAGTATGTGGCTAGATCTCACTTAGCTACAGCTGATTATGAAAAAAAAACATTTTCTTCCCCACTATTGTATACATTCATGTTTTTGATCTAACTGAAATCTTTCTTACATAAATAATAAATTTGATGAGATAAGGAGACTTACAAATGTAATCCAGGTTAAAAAAAATGAAGCAAAGAATTTAGATCTGATTGCCTTTACATTAAAAAATGACCCTTATCTTTCTTGACAGTAAACTAAGGTAGTAGGACTATAATTCATCTTGATAAATGAGATTTATCACAAGATGTGACCATGTGATTCAAAAAGGAAGAACTAGATCTGTTTTTAAAACAACAGACGGCTGATCATTGTTTTATCAATTAACTAGTAAATGGTATAGATAAATATGCTATCAGGACTTTATGATTTTCAATAATATTCCAGGATAGGGAGTAATCTATTAGTTTTATATAAAATAATATACTTATTTTGCATTTTTCAGTTTTTGCCTCAGAGAACTTAATGCACCAACATAAGTGCATTAGTGGTTCAGGATTGTTATCAGGTCTAAGATGGATTCCTGAAGCTTGCAGGAAGCTTGATAATTAATGTTCTCCAACTGACTTAAGTGGCAGTTTATCCTACCTTGTTCTTCGTCTGATTTCCCAGATATCATCATTCCAGAACTGCAGACATAACAGAAACATCATGAACTAGTATTTAAGATTATGACTCATTCAGATCCCTTTATTCAATGTGGGTCTTTTGCCCTCCTGGCAATATTAATGACGGAACAAGCTTGTCTTTAATAAAGATAAAAAGAACTAGAAAAATACAAAGGCTATTGTACAGAAAGATGCCATAAGGTTTAAGTGTTCACTTGGAGATGTTTACTTCTCAAACTGAGGTTAAACGAAAGAGTTCTGAAAGAAGAAATTGCATGCTGGTAATATATTGGAAATATTAACCTGGGCTAAAGCTATTATAGATGAAAGCCAGTCAACTGGCAGACAGGAGTTTCTTTGCCAATTATAGAACGTTAGAGAAATCAATATCTCAGTTGCATAATTAGACTTAAAAGAGATCCTACTGGAGAAACACTGCTTGTCTGTGGAGTTCCTTAGACTTGAAATTTGATCAGATGTAACATGTTATTTCATTATTCAGACTCCCAAGGGAAGACATGCACATACTTTATCTTAGCTGGGAAATATTATTGTATATTGCTGGGTGTACGTGTATATATATATATATATATATATATATATATATATATATATATATGTATGTATGTATTTGTACATACTGACTGAGGTCTCTTCTCTGCTAGATGGAATTTCAATATTGTAAAAGAGAATTTCTGTAGCTCAGGACTGAACTGTGGAGTTAAACTGTGGCGTTCTTGGTGCTCTCTGAGCTTGTGTTTGTACACAGGCACTTTATTACCCAACTAGGTAACTTCATCCATGCATAATGATGTTACCTAATTCAGTAATAAATCATCTGCAAGCAAACAACCAGGCTCAGAGGGCATCAAGAAGGAGCAGAAATCCATAAATGGAATTTCCTAACACTTATCAAAACCTACTATATTCTAGTTGAACACCATGAACCAAGCTAGTATGACATCAACATTGGCCTTCCAGTAAGTTAGTGCAAGCCACATTGCTCATGCAGCAAATCATAAAAGATAGTACTGTTCTGATCCACTACTTAGAAAACAACCATCCACTCTTTTTTTCATTTTCTTTTTCCTAGAATGATGGATTGTGAATAAAGTCCTGGGAGTATATCTGAATTGTTGTCTGTACAGCAGCAGAAATTCCGAAATGGGGATGAGGTGAATGAGATGGCGCACAGTCACTCATGCTCTGGTCACCTCCCGCCTGGACTACTGTAATGCTCTCTACATGGGGCTTCCCTTGAGGAGCACCCGGAGGCTCCAGCTAGTCCAAAATGCGGCCGCGCGGGCGGTGTTGGGAGGGACTCGTCGCTCCCACGTAACACCGCTGCTGCGCGAGCTGCATTGGCTGCCGGTGGCCTTCCGGGTG